AGTGTATACCGGGCAATGGCACTTAACCAGACCTAGTATGACTAGACCTTTGGTAAATGTCCGAAATATATACTAGGTCTAGTGCCACTTTTGCTATAGCTTAAATATTTAAAAAAAAAATAAACAAAGCGTTTGAATCAATTTTAAACTGATAACGAAATTATTGCTTTAAAATTAAAAAAATAATAATAAAAACTGCTCCGGATAAGAATAATTGAAGTAGTTGCTTTTAACAGCGCATGAGCGGAAAATTTTTTTAAAAAATTATCCAGGTGCATCTAAAAGTGGATGAACATCCCAAGATACCCTTTTAACATTCCCGAATTCTAAATCTGTTCCAAATAGACTTACACTAGTTAGGCAAGTAAAGTTAATCCCTTTCACTTAGTCCAATTATAGAAAAATTAAAAGATATAGAATGTTTAGTTTAATTCAAAGTGTTTTTTTTTCTTGCGTTGCATGAAAATAAAATACTGAATTTGGTACTAAAAAGTTTCTTTTTTTTGTTTATAGTGGCATCTTGTCTGTGATTTGGCATGGCTACCTTCCTTAGCGTTAAGTATTTTCTTCGTTGGAGCATTTATAGGTCAATGGTTGTATATTTTAGTAATGAACAGGTAAGGAAATTCATTATTTTTCATAGATTTCATTTTGTTTAATTATAAATATTTATTTTAAATAATGTAATTCAGATGTATTGTATCGTTACACTGTATTGTAAAAATTCTTACAAATGCTATTGTTATTAAAACAGAAAAGTTCTTAAAGTAAAGAAATTCGCAAAAAACTGTATGATCCCACTGCATGCGGCTTCTTTATTATTCATTAATCTATGTCAAGTTACATTTTAATTAATGATTTGTACCTATCTGTTAAACATTGTAACGATATTTTGTATAATATTATAAAATTTCAATTTCTTGCCACAGATAAACTACACATTTTTTTATCAAAATGTAAATTAGATTTATTCTATTATAGTTTACTACATACGTAAAGTTATATTTTTGTTTATTTTTTTGTATTTAACTAAATAAAACGACAGACTAATTTATTTTAAAAAATAATGTACAAAATTATTGTTATTAATATTGTTGCTTTTTCTTTGTTAATTATTCAGAATGTATGTCAACGTTGGATTTTTGTGTGAAACATCTCTCTTGGTACAATAAAAAGTGTTCATTATTTATTTTTTGAGCAGCTTTTTTTAATGCTTTCAGAAGAAAATTTTTAACTTTTCAATAATTATAGCAATTCATAATATATCTAGTACGCTATATATCTAGTACTACTTTTTTGTATTAATTTTCCTATTTTTGGAACAAAAATGTTATAAAATGTTAACTAAGCTTTAGTGGAGATTTTATGTCTCATAGGTATGGAAAGAGAGTGAGTTTTTTCTTGTTCCTGGCCATCCAGTGCCTTTTTGGTATCGTCACTGCCATCTCTCCCGATTTTGCATATTTTATTGTACTTCGATTCTTTGTTGGCATCTCGTCCTCTGCCGTCATCTCATCCCCTTTTGCTTTGGGTAAGTATAACCTTTTGAATGAGGTGAACCGGGTTCGAATTCCAGTAACGGCTGGTCGAAGCAAATTTCGCATCCGGCTTGCACACACCACAGTGCTGATGCATATCCTCAATGATGGGTTAGATCATGGGTTAGAGTCCCCTTGCGTCAGGCAAACAGCGGGAGTTTTTCGTGGCCTTCTTGTCCATGCAACGCAAATGCTGGTTAGTTCCATCAAGGAGTTCTCCACGAAGGCAAATTTCTCCCTATACTTGATACAGGAGTTCCCTTGTCTTTTGGATTGGGTTCAAAATTGGGATTCTCTTTGATATAAATTGTGGTAGTGTGGCGAGCACTTCTGTTTAATTTAGTTTGGATTAACACTGGGAGTACTTTTTTCATCATTCGACATGACGCCGATTATGTCGTTCTCGGGTGGAAGTCTTCATTTGTCCGATATCGTTATTTTCGATATCGGACAAATGAAGATTATGACAAATGATTCATTTGTCCGATATCGATATTTTCTCGGCTCAAAGACATCGAGTCTGAGCCGAGAAAAACGGAACGAAAACACAAACTACGGTAGTAGTATCATCTAAACGTAAAAAATAAGAATAATTGTTAAAATGGTAAATAAAGAAGTTTCAGTCGTTGTATTCTGTCTTTCATAGTTTATTGATGGAAAAACATGTAAATACCGTTTTATCTTTTGCAACAACGCGTTTTTACAACAAATTCGGACTTATCAAAAACTTAAAGCACAATTTTACCCATTTTGGATTATAATATAATTATACTGTGTTTTAATATTACATAATTTACTTTTAAAGACGTGATTATAAGTTCAAAAAATGAACAAATCCTTGTTAATTTTAACTGGTCCTGATTTGTTTCTAAAATATACGACAAAAGAGTAAAAGTAAAAGGAACAAAATATATGGGCACGATTTGATTGGATACGTGCTTGCTCTTATGATATGTCATTTCCCATAAACGTTATCGCTTTGTCGGAGCCGATAGAAATGCTTTCATATCGGTGAGTGGAAAAGCACGTATGCTTGTGCAATGTATTTTACTAGACCATGACGATAAACGGATCCGTTTTGTCGGTATCGTGTCGCGTAATAAAAGAGCGACCTCATAATGAATCCCCAGACTGTTACGTCATCGAGTGCCTATTAAAGAAGCATTTATGCCACATCAACACTTATATTTAAACAAATTAGATGCATGTAAAAACTGGATTATTCGTCATCACACAATCACCCATATTACCCTTCATCTCAATATGTTATTGTTCAAAAATTGTGTCTGGATTTTAAAAATAACGCCATGATTGTGAATAGAGTCCAAAATTAGATTGGAAGTTTATAATAGTTTATAATAAGAAAATGACTAAAAAAGAAAAAAAATATGTCAACCAATTTATGTCACAGGGTATTTTTTGATCCTAAGTTAATGTTTTCAGTTGTTTTTTTCGATAGATGGCGCTGCGAGTAGTTAACCTGTTCATTTAAAAGACAAAATAAATTGCAAATCTCACCAAAAACGTTCAGAATACTTTTTGATTAATAAAAATCAAGTTTTGATATTTTTGAATTGCCCACCATCAGCTACAAACGCATGTCATACTCGGAAGAATGAAATTTGCATACATTAAAACTACATTGGTAGTTGGGACTTGCAGTGCTATCTGTCAGAAAATTTTCAAACTGAAATGAGGAATGTAATGCTATGTAAATATGTTTGCCGCAAGAATTGTTTAACTTTAGCTATTCTTTGGCAGCAAGTTTCTAAAATTTTGAATTCGAATATACTGCATTTTTACTTTTCAAAATTTTAAGCAATACTTTTTTTAAAAATTTCGAATTTTTTTTTTAGCCCAAGAACTTGTAGGACCGAAGCATAGAAATAAAGTATCAATTCTTGGCCATTCCGCCCAAAGTTCAGGTCTTATATTTTTATCCGTAGCAGCTTTTCTAGTAAGAGATTGGTCTCACATTGCGTTGGTTACGACACTGCCATTTGTCGCATTTTTCTTGTTTTGGTGGTAAGTATTTTACATAATACAAGATTTATTTAAATTTTTAAAACGAATTCAAGTATATAACAATAAAATTTACTGCCAATCAAAAACTTGATGCTTAATAAAGAAAATAACCTATAGAAAAATATAGTTTGTTCATTGAGAAAAAACTAGCTCATCACGAAGTTATGAATAAAATGAAAGAAGAAATAAACGGTAGGATGGTGACGTATGGCTGCTTCCGGGCAATGACTACACAGTTGAAGATAAGTGGCGAGTCCAGCAGAAAATTCTTCCACGCCTTCTATGACCTCCATATGTTCGAAAATTTAAGAAAACAGCCGAAATTTTTTTGGATCCATCGTTTAATTGAAAAACTTTCTTCACAATATCATCTTATCAGGAAACACTAGTGCCTTCAGATTAATATCATCTTGGGTTTCGAAGGAGACACGTGATTCCTTCTCTACACACTGTCGTTAAAAATAACTATTTCCAATTATATGTACTTTATTCGGATTACCTAAACAGCATAAATGCAAGGATAGGCTAAAAAGAACAATTGAAATATAGAAAAATAACATTTACTTTCTGAACATGTGGTGGTGGAAATCAGATCTTAAAGAAAAACTGCTCACTTCTCTCTAACAGAGTCAATGACGGAATGCGTGCGTCCATCCGGGCAACTGGCTCGGTAAGGCTAATGGTTACAGTTAATAAGCTATAGGTGCAAGGCACAATCATAAAAGTAATATTAGATATTTTGTCAAAGGTCAAAAGGTTGAAAACTGCGGGTATTGTGATGGTATCGCAGAAGATTTATGATAATATACAGCTTGATGATTTGACCAAGTTAATTTGTTAAATTCTTTTTCTAAAATAATATGCTTTAATATTGTTTAAAGAAATTTAAAGCATAAGATCTTTTAAAATACTAAAGTGTATTTCTTAATTATTAGATAGGTAAATACTAGAATTTATCAGGAAAAAGAAAGATTTAAACCTATCCAAATATGTTTTAAACAGTAATAAGGTGAATAGCAAGGTATATTAAATTTATTTATAAAAGTCAAGTTACTCAGTATTTTTAAATAAGTTACTTTGCATGGAAATACATCGAAAATTTCTATTTTATTTTAATATTTCTTTGAAAATACGAAATTAATTCATGTGCAAATTTTCTGAATTTAATTAAAAGGAGCAGGTGTTTATGAAGAATTAATTGAAACGTGAAAGAGTTTAACTTATTTGATTTTTATAATTCAGGTGAAAAATATTGATTTTTTGTTAATAGTTGAAAATATGGCAAGCAGTTTCAGAAAGGGAAATAATTTTGTCTACTCAGAAATGCTAACTATATTTTGCAACCAAACTGTATCATAACCAGTTACCGTTCGTATCATGACCAAACTAGAATAATTAAGCGTAATAATATATTTGTTCGAGATTGAAGAAATTTTTAGTTTAAGTTTACGAAATAACATTATCGTATATTTTGCAATTCTATTAAGTACATTGTCTTCTGATAAATAATCACGCTGGGAAAAGTTTTTGCCATAACTCTTGCAAAACAAAGCAAAAATCATTTCAAATGAAAAATAGTTTAGGATTATGGTTTGCAAAATAGTTCTATACATTGGGCTCTGTAATGGTGACTCTTATTTTTTGAGTTTCTTAGAACCCTTGTCAAAAATGAATACAAATTTATGAGTACACATTTTAGGAGTCCTATTAGTACACAATCTATAAACAAGGAAAAATCTTAACACAGTTGGCGAATTATTTCTGAGGTAGGTAGGGCTTAAATAATCAAAGCCTTATTTATTGCCGGGGGGGAAAGTTGGAAGGGGATTATTAGAAACTCCTCGTTTTATGTGTCATTCTAACTGATTTTAGATTCTTTTAATATTGCTTTCTTCAACAGCGATTCGACATATTTCGGTAAAATTTCAGTTTTTCCAAGCTTAAATACTAATTTTGAGCCTTTAATGTAAATATATATTTTCATCCTTTTTAAGGGTGGTGTTTATGGAACACCCTCATGATCCAAAAATAAGCATGTAAGTTATGCTTTCAATTTAGATTTAGGTAAGAAGTACTATAACTAAAGTACTGCATAGAATAGCGCTCAATATATAGCGCTGATATTAAATAAAACTATAAATTGCCTGAATATTAGTTTAATAAGCAATTAGATGTTACTAATAATGATCAGAACTATTTAGTTGCCATATGCCTTACCCACCAAAATTTTAAGGTTTACGCAAAATATTTTTCTAGTTGTAATGAACTAAAGCTGAAATTTTTTAAACAATTAAGATTTTTGTAAAACTGTTATCAAACGTTGTATCATAGACATTTGTCAATTCGATATATCAGTCTGAATTATTTATATAAAGTGGAGTTATAATTTTTTAATGCCAAAGTATTAAAATGTTAATGAACTTCCTGAACTACATTTTCTACCACTAGAAAAAATAGCTTCTGAAACTACGGAAATTACATTGTTGTTGGAGGGTATGTGCATGTACTAACAACTGAACTTACTTAAACTAAGAGAAAAACAAATATTATATTAGTACTTTATGGAATTATTACTTTTATTCATATAACCAGTGATTCCACTTTATTTTTGAAATTAATTATACCTCCAAAAACCTGTATTGGGACTCTGAAGCTATTTTACCCCTATACTTATAAATTTATCACTATACATTATAACCCATGCTGTTCTAAGCGTACTACTATACTTATAATTCCCAATACTCCTAAAAAGCAATCTGTTTAGAATAAATCAATTTAGCTGCCAATTGGCACTTGTATGTCTCCTTCCACCGTGGGAATGTAAATAAAACGCCTAGAAATCGTTGCGTATGGTTCTTGTGCTATTATTTATATGTTTTTTTGAACATGTGCAATAATCCAGCAGTTGGTCAGGGTATTTCCAGAGTCACCTGATTGGTTGAAGGAAAGAGGCCGGTATGAAGAAGTCAGCAGGATATTTGAAGTCATAGCACAAGCGAACGGGAGAGAGCTAACTCCTGAATACATCATCAACATGAAGGTATTTATCTATTTTTAAATATTACACTTTCACAAGAATAACAAGCAATCATTCTAACTATTTATACTACTATTTCACTGTTAATTAATATATATCTTAAAATATTTAAATAATCACGAAAACATAACATTTAACTTATTTATACACATTCGAAATCCAGCTATCCTCTTTGGTGCCAAAATTGCAAATGTATAATAAAAAATTCTGCCATCGGCCACAACTCATATGCTGATATTTTTTCTCGTTTTATTAAACTAGAAGTATTTTTGTTATGTCAAAACCCAAATGAGCATTGGCGTAAATCTTTGTCTTTAAAATTCATTGAATTAAAATCAGGTGAATAAGGCGGCCATTCTTGTAGTATTATTGTGGTCTGCACCGTTTTAGTGCCTTTAGCTCCATGTGCTTAAGAAGCACAATTGTTAACACATTTTCAACTTTCATTCCACATAAAAATGAATTCGATTTGCTTTTGCACGCATATCCGGGATTTTTAAGCTTGAATTAATGCATAACATAAAAAATTATAAATTTGGTGACTTATAAAACCATTTGGTTTCTATACATAGTTCAAATTATTTCTTGCCACCTAGTAAACTTTAACTTCCTTTACATTTTTCGAAATAAAATGCAAAAAGACTTTAAATTATGTACATTTTTTTGCCTACTTATAAATTAGAAATGAAATGCTTATATAATTGAACATTTTAACTATACTTTAACTCTTCTTTAAACTACACGTTGGGTAATTAATACCATTATCTTTAAGTTTATCGTTTGTTTTTTTTGAAAAAATAAACTAGCAATTAATACTTACATATGATTTAGTATTTCTTAGTTATTTACATTACTTATTTATTGAAATAGATTTTTATATGAGTTATGTGTAAAAAAATCTTTTCTCATACAAAGAATCATTTTTCATTTTTTAACTTTATAACTCACAGTGTAATAAGAGCAAAAAAAAAAGTTTGATTTTGTTTTTAAAAAAGTTGATAGCCAACAAGTTTAAGTTTCAGACGTTAAACAACGTTGATTATTTTCTTATAAGGATAGGCAAAATATGTATAATACTTAAAAATTCAATAACTTGCGTGAAGTCTTTTTTTTTAGTTGACTTTATGTTCAGATTAAATTGGAATGACTTCTTTTTGACTAATTTAGTCAATTTCTTTATAATTAGACGGCTCCATTAGAAATTTGTTTTTCGCTTAATTCACGTTAGTGGTAACCTACCACTTTATACTTTTCACCAATCTGCGTACAGTTATTCAAAATAAAAACTTAAAGAATTTTCTGAATAACATCGATTTATTACAAAATAAACCATATCTTTTTTTTAATACTTGTAGAGAAGGTTCAGGATAGAAAGGTCTATGTTGGAAGAAAGACGAAAAAATAAGAGGCATGTCCCATACACGATATGGGATTTGTTTCGTGGGTCCAACACCAGCAAGAAAACCACTGCCATTATTTTTATATGGTAAGGAAATCTAGTTTATTTTTATTTCTAATGCTAGTTTTATGCTTTTTGAAAGCATGATAATTTAACTGAAATAAATTAATTTATTTTATAATTGAAAAAAAAAATTAATAATTGTGTAAAAAGCGAAAATAAGATATCCTTAGCATATGTATTTTCATTTAGACCTGCACTGTGTTTCTTCTAAGCTTACTTAAAATTACATTCCAAAATATATATTTTTGACGAATAGAATATATGCCTTAAAATCTCACACACATTTACACGCATGCGTCAACTCAGCTTTCTTCAAATCAAAACGAATAGAAATTTATTAAACTCTGTTAAATCTATGTTTAATATTAAATTCACCGAATCTATGTACCAAATCAATGTACCAAACATATATATCAATTTCACTAAACTAATACAAAATATAAATATCTAGAATAAAACATAAGCATAAAAATCTACACCAATATAAAAAAAATAATTACTTAGAATCTATTACATGCCTAACCAAAATGTAAAACGAGATAAGAAATCGTATTACATTCGAAATGAATCTAAAAAATTTCATCTGATGAATTCAATTTTGATTTCTCATTAAAACAGGTACAACATATCAAATTTAAATTAAACGTTTTGTTTAAAAGTATGCTAAATATTTATAAAAAGTAATAATTTTAATTTAAGCTTAGTACCCTATTTGTATTACGAGGACGTAATTATAAAGCCTTATCTGTTTCACTTTCTCATACACAAGGAAATTAGAATTTGAAAAGCATAAAAATAATTCTTCTAAATAGGTGACTCACATAGAAAGACAATTGTAATTTATCTATAATCTAGATTATGTCACATAAAAGTTTTCTAAATTGAATTGAATATTGATATTTCAAAAACACGGTCTACTATCAGAGAGGTTATAAGCTTTCTCTTGCAGACTGCAAAAAGTAATTGCCACCAATTTTAGTGTTGAGGCAAACTAATGTTATTACAGTGCATTTTTATTTACCTTTTAGCTGTTATAGTTTTATTTATTTATTTATGTTTGTGTGCGTTTGTTTATGCATCATTTTTCTTAAGTTTTTCGTAAGAATATCAGCATGATTCAAAAATGTTAAACCAAAAGGCAGAAAAAATACATGCATCATTTACAGTTAAATAACATCCGGCAAATTATTTTAAGTTCTGAATTTAAAATGATGTTTGTTTTGCAGCCCATGGAATATGATTTTTAGTTCTATCCCTAAGGTAATTTTAAATTAACTCTTTTTTTTAAAAAAGGAAAACTGGTGCAAAGAATAAAATATTTCGTTAGCGCAGAAGTAAAAGGCGCATTTTGCTGTCTTGTTTTCACAAATCGCACTGTTCAGATATTTTATCTTTTAAAAGCTTTTTACTTATATCTCCTTTTCATTTTCTGTTGCATCTTTAGTTACTTTTTTTTCTGTTTCCGATTAGTTTGTTTTTAAGTTGATATATTTTACGAATGTGTAATAATTCACGTTACAGGATATAATTATTCTGCACAGTGGCGTACGCAAGGGAGGGGCTTAAACACCCCCCTTGAGCTCAAACAAAATGGCAAAAATAAAATTTTAGTAGAAATTATGCGAGCTATTATTTTTTAAGACTATATATTTTTATTAACCTTATGCCTACTTTTTTTTTCTCACGGTATTTCTCAGAATACTGAAAAAACATTTACTATAATAGGGTTGTACTTTTGAAACCAAATTCACGTGATACTGTTATGAACTGGTTCCTTTCTGTCCTGCCAGTAGAGTTTTCGAGACTGGCTGTCATTCGCGAGATCTTTATGCTATGATTCTGGAATCCTAGACGTTCTGTCGTCTTTGAGACAATTCGAGAATTTTGGAGACGCGGTGAAAAATTATATAAAAGGGGGAACGGAGTACAGTGGAGTTAGTTAGTCAGACTAAGAGTTATCTCTGCCGCTTGTCTTTCGGAGCTTGTCGTTAAATCTGTTTTGTTTTGTCTTAACAAAAAGTTCATTCAATCGCCGAACCCGTCGTCGACAGTATTTCGACTAGTGAAGAAATCAGTTACAATACCAGAGATACTGTGCTCGTTGAAGTTATTCATTCCAGCTCGAAACTTTGAGATCGTAACATAGCGGATATTTCTGTGCCAATATATGCATATATTTGCTGTTCTTGGATCTTTAGGATTTAACAATTTTTAACACAAGAATTTTGCAATTTTTGATTATTTTGAGAAAAAATCACGATCTGAAATTAGTGAGGTGACAGCATCTAGTACCAATGTAAGTTTTTCTGTTGTACAGAAATGTGATACTTCCGTTGAAGAAAATGTTTCTAGCATAACAAAATCTGATGAATGTGAAAGTGGCCCTCAAAGTGTTACTTTCCACCCATATGACATTAAACTTTTTTCAGAAAATATGATATTATATTCTTAAACTTAAAAAATCAAATCAAAATTTAACTAAACAATGTTGTCTAAATAAAAAGTCAAAACTGTCTAGCTGTCTAAATTAGGGAAATAATAGTGCTTTACAACAGATTCGAATTTCTTTTAGTAGTTTCGGAAAATTATGAACACCCCCCTTGAAAAAATTCTGCGTACGCCACTGATTCTGCATAGAAAGTAAAGTCGACGGATTTTGAATAGAGTATGATATAGCAGTTTTCTTAGAATAAAAATATAGCTCAGTAACGTTTTGAAATATTCTGACTTATGAAATAAAGGTAAAATAAATTTGTAGCCAGAAAGAGTTTTGAACCTACGACGTTATGATTGAAAGTAAGTCGAATATGTTTCCTAGATGTCAAAACGAAACTGAGCGTAATGCAATTCCTATTCTTATTTAATGCAGGGTAAACTATTTTCTTCTCTAAATTTCTTGGAAACTGTGAGTGGACAATTAAAAAAGTAATACAGTTAAATTAAATATTTTAAAATCAGAAAAAAAGCTTTAGAAATTTTACGATACAATATTTTATATCCTTTTAAAAAACAAACATTTAAATGTTTAAAATTTTATTAGGTTCAGAAAGATGCCAATGCCTAAACTATTCTTAATAGCTCATTTCGAACAGATAATAACATAATTTACCCATTTAAAAGACATTAAAGATTTAAAATATGCTTAATAACTTGTATGGAATAAATGACAAAATTATAATTACATTAGCTTTAAGAAATTGCACTACACTTTAGAAATACATAAAACAACAACAACAACAAAAAAATGTAAAAAAACTTCTATTATATGGCTTTTATAATTTTTCCTTGTTAAAATCCTCATTATTACTCAGCTTAAAAATTGCATCTAAAATTTGAAATTGCCTTTGATAATTACTGTTGCATACTAAATATGACATCAGCTCATTTAGATAAGTACTTGAAAATCATAATTTTCAAGTACTTTCAACTTATATATTAATACTGACGGATAATGAAAAAAAATGTTGTTTCTTCATGTTAAAAAATCCTTTTTTAATGTCTGTAAGTGACACATTTTTGTTATTGTCATTTTTAGACAGTTTGCTGTTAATAACAAATCTAACATTTATTAATATGCTTACATTTATTAATATTCTTACATTCATTTTAGCATGCATAATATTTCAAATGCTCCGCGATTTTAAAAAATAAAGAGGAAAAAAAAATTTCATCGATGTTTTCAGTTGATTAAAAATATTTGTTAAAGCAATTGCTGTTCAGAAAATTCGATTGAATTTCAAATTACAAATTATCATAATAAATCATATGCTATTTTAAATAGATATACTTCTAGACTACTACTAAATTATTTTATTTTTACTTCTTAACGTTATAATACATATTTTCTATTGAATTCTTTGTACTTGAACATGTAGTATCGAAGAAAATCATTTCCCCTATGTATCAGTATAAAAGCATACTAATTATAGAAGTTCCATGAACAATTTTTTATCAAACAGTACTTCTAAGTAATTTCACTTATTAACGACACGGTTCATTTATTCCTTTTTACAAATGATATTCGGCACTCTATATTCATCACCGATCTCAATAAGCCCCGTACAAATTCTCGAACCAGGTAATTCTTTCGAGATGGAACGAAATAATGATGCTCATTTAATATGGAATTTTCGTTTCATATTAGCATATTTTCCCCCATTACATAACTCACCGAAACAAATGGGGAAAAAGAATTTAATTTTGAATGCTTTCTTCTTTTCATATTCGAAGGACAAAGATTCGCAATGTTTAATGACAAAGATACCATTTTGTTCCGTTCTTAAGTTCGAATTCCTTGTTGGAAGTTTAATGAGGGAGGGATGATTTCCTGACAGATAACACAACCGAAGGATGAAATTCGATTTTATTATAGTGACCTCTTTGTCTTTAACTCCGCACATAACTCATGAAAGATTTGTAAGTGGCATTCAGTCATTGAATTCATCGGGGGCCATCTTTTCCAATTTGTGTCAAATCTTTCAAATCGCTCTGTTCTATAGACGGCGAGAAAGGTTCTTTTGACAGATGCTTCCTCCGGAGGAAAATCTATGGAAATCGTTCATCATTTATGATTACCTTTATCCCAATTATAGATTTCAACAACTGCAATCATTCTTTTTTTCCTTTTGAAAATAATCCGATGGCTAGTTGAAAAGGCAAACCTTTTAGAATAAAAGTTCCAGGATCTCGGCATTAAAGTAAAGTCTATCGGTATAAAACTAATTTGTAAATTGAAAGATTTATATCGATTGAAATTGCTATAACATTTTTAATGTTTTGTTTTAAAATAACGGATGAATTTTCAAACGATGTGTTTAGTTTCCGATCAAACCACGAGATCTAAAATGTGAAACGAAATTCTTCCTGGACTTTTTGGTGGCCATGGGGAACATATGGGCAACGGATCTTAAGTTCCTACGAGTAAGCTAAAAGTAAAAAAAAAATGGTTTTTGAATAAAAGAAAACACAGCCAATTATGTGTTTAAGAATGAATGTATGTTTAGTTTTCGATCAACGATTTGTTT